TGCAAACATGCAATGTGTATATGGATAGCACAATAATTTTCTACTTTTTATTTTGCCGTGATTCCTCTATCACATGACAGACAATATTCAATCAAGGAGAATGGCACGATCAATCAGTAATTAAGATTAACCTGAAATCAATGTGCATGCGAGAGATATCGTGGGATCGTAGGCGTGGACAGACGAACGAACCAAAATAAATGTCGCACAAAAAATATCAACACTTTATTCTTTTTAGTTGTAGAAGAATACCATTTTTTGGAGTCGTCCATGGAAAGAGCAATAAAATAATATAAATTTAATGTTGCACGCCTGCAGTTCTCTGTTGGTTCCAGCTACTGCTGACGCCTCAGTCATGTTGAGCAGGCCTATGCGATCGATTAATTCGGGAAAATTTTGAACAACAGAAGTGCAACGGTGGGAGTACATATATTCCTTGCCCTCAAGATTAGTGAACCTACATATATGTTTTGCACCCCCAAATCTAGTTAGCACGAAAGGCCACCAAGACCCAACAATCCAAGTTCAAACATTCCTTCTGGTATCAGCAAACAGTCCGACAATACCAATCAAAGTCTATACACCGTCACCACCTTCATGTGCATGCATGCATAATCTTGTGCAATTCATATAAAAAAAACCGTAGCTCTAAAAACTATGAATAAATTTGGCTAGATTCCTTATGAAATATGATACCATTTAAAAATGATTTTGAACCGAAATAATATCTATAGTTTCAAATAGAATTACAGAATCCTCTGAGCTTGTTAATCACATAGGTAATTCTCTAAAGCTTCAAAATTATGAAATCAATCTTGGTAGCTTCATTCCTTTTGACATAGGCTGTCTAGGAGAATTATTTCTTGCATCATTAGCTTCCATCGTCAAAATACATATTTGCAAAAACTAGCCAAGAGCTTCAAAGTTTGGCACTGCTATGCATCGACGGACAGTCTGTCCGGTCCGGATGTATTGGACAGTCCGCCGGTGTCATGCCTAATCAAATTAAGTCCGTTGAGGTGGACAGTGGACCGTCCATTCGGTCAAGTCAGAGGGTCCATTGGAACACTAGCATGCACGAAGTCCACTTTTCAAGTCTCCTCTCGTCGAACGGTTGCTCTCAGAACCCCCCTGGACGCCATGTTTTTCCCACTCTCTAGTTCTTGAATCATGAGCTCTACAATGTCAAGGGAAAACAATAATCACATCGTGCGAGTCACGTGGGTAATAGAAAGAGAAGACAATCTCCGAGATATACACTGGCCGTGCAGGGTGATGCGTGACCACCACTACCGTAAACAGACAGATGGGCGTGACGCGGCGCCACCGAACTGAACGTGATGGACCCCACCTACGCCTACCCCGCCGCGAGAGGTGGTGAGATGAGACTCGCGCGGCGGGACCAGGACAGCAAGGAGAACCACGCGTGGCAGACTTCCGTGTGTTTCCTGCATGGAACCGTCAGCGGTCACGGCAGCATCTTTCTTTCTAAAACAAACCTTGCATACTTATCAAGTTATCAATATTTTTCCCAATATATCCGTACTTCTTATCTCTAATCTATCATTAGTTATTACCATCATCATGCAGCAATGCCTCGTGCCTGCAGTAGTCCTGTGAGAGTGAGATTGATGATTTGCCTAGCCTTCGCCGTCAAAAGATAGATCAACATCAAATCACGTAAGTGTTAGTTAAATCTATATTGTAGTTTATACAACTTTATCATTTAATATTCAAATTACATACATGTCATATTATTTATTTCTTATGTACCGAATTAAGTTGCAGGGAGGTGGTAAATGGACTTTGTCAAAATGCATGTGAACTATCTGTACTGTAACTATTTATTAATTGTATACTGGATTGTGGAGCAATTTTTATGGTACTTTACTGAATCACTAAAACGGTTTTTTTTTACCGGTTTAGATATGAAAATTTTAGTCCGGCATACAAATCCTAGATCCGCCATTGATGGAACGAAAACCAAAAAAACGTTGCGACGTGACATCCCTCGCATCACTAATACGGAGCACTCCGTACACTAGGCCTTGTTTAGATTAGGGTTAGGAATCAGTATTTGGCACTGTAGCACTTTCGTTTGTATTTGACAATTATTGTCCAATCATAGCCTAACTAGGCTCAAAAGATTCGTCTCGTAATTTACAATCAAACTGTGTAATTAGTTATTTTTTATCTACATTTAATACTCCATGCATATGCGTAAAGATTTGATGTGATGAAGAGAGAGTGAAAAAACTTACAATCTAAACAAGGCCCTAGTAATATATTCGCGCCGCAACAACAACAAAAAGGCACAGTAATACAACTATATACCAGCAGTTAAACAAAAAAAAAAACTAGCTAGCGCGCCGCGCGGGTGTCGTGCGAAGCCCCGTTCGCTTGGCTAAGCCGGACTTAAAAAGTATCGTTGATTGATTTATTATAAGAAAAAAAAACTGTTTATTTATTGAAAAAATATGACTCATAAGACACGCGATCAAGGATATTAGCAGCATAATCCGCGCCCTAATTGGTTAGAGGCGCCGACCGCCGAGTTGAAGTCACGATCGATCTGCGAGGTAGAGGTAGGTACCGGCCCCCACCCCGCAGTCCCCAGTCACTCACTCACTCAGGAGTCTGGCCGGACGACTCTTGCCGGAATTGACGTCGTTCCATGTCATGGAGTTCAGATACTACCCTTGCATTGTAGGCATCCCCAATGGCGTTTTTTTTTCATGAGCTGTGCTATAAATAAATAAATAGCATATACCATATATATATAGCGGGTGTTTAGGACTGCTCCGCTTCACGTTTTTTTAACTTTGCTCTATATTTTTTAGCCAAACATGTTCAGCTCCATGCACACTGCTCTAGAAAAAAAGGTGGAGTTGTAAGAGCTCCTAAAGGATGTTCCACAAACTCTAGGTTTTTTGTGAAACTGCTCCAAGGTAGAGTCTGTGGAGCAGAGTTCATGGAGCAGTCCCAAACACCTAATACTATTTTCATTTTTGAAATAGCGTCTCCTATACTAATCTATATCTACAATTATATCTCTACCTCTATCTCTATATCTATATCTATTTGTAATATTAAAAAAATAGAAACTTCTTTTTCCATATTTTTTTACTTTTGCTTTCAAATTTTCTATATTCTCAAAGTACCCTCATATCATTTTTTTGTCATCCATTATTCCGGAATGAGAGTTCATCATCCGCCACACAGGTCGTAAGTTGTTTCCGATTCCTTCGACAGACGTGTACCATCGTATGTTTTCAAGTTCATTTACTTACTTTTTAATGTTTGGATGCACATTTATTCACCTTAACTCATGTTTGTTAAAATGGTTTGGCATAAAATTTAGTTTAAATTCCACACCTCTCCCGCGCTCCCCCTCGGCCCCACACGCCCCTCTTTGCTCCGCTCAACTGCGACGCGGCTGCGCCCAGACCCAGCGGCCGGCAACCGGCGCCCTGCGCGGCTGCGCCCAGTGGCCGGCGTCGAAGCCCAGTGGCTGCGCCCAGAGCATGGAATTCCACACGAGCTCCCTGCTCTGCTGCCAAGGGAAACTGCTTGCCAAATGACCAAAGGCAGCTAGCTAACTCGCTTTTTCCACGCTGATGAAAATGGGCATTTAGAAGCGGTCTCCCCCTACAGCTGCTTCCATGGATTTGAGTCACCGATAGGTGAAAAGCCTAATTCAATCAGGCCCACTTAACTGCAGAGAAGACAATACTACATGGCACTACGAATATTGCTTTGCTGTCCGAATTGAGTGGCGCATATGTAGAGCTGATCGAGAACAAAATGGAAGTAAAGATAACATCACACATGTTCATGAGCAGGAGCAACTCCTGCAGCCTCTCTAAAGCATTTCGACATGGGGATGAACAACAGAGGAGGAAGGAGGATGGGTCCTGTGGTGTCCATTTGCAGGCAGCTGATGCTAATTGCGGGTCTGAAAGAGATGGAGCTGTGGTAGAAAATGAGACAAGATTCTTTTCTTTCTAGTGCACGGCTGCACACAACGACAGGGAGCAGGCTTTGTTGCTATATATGCAGTGCTTGCTTGTGGTAAATCTCTCGGCGGCAGATTTTTTTTTTAAAAAAAAGAGAATGGGATAGTAGAGGCAAACTATTTACAAGCCTTCGAAACCAAGTTTTGAAATCAACTTTTACAGATGCTCTTCTTGGAGTTACTCTTAACCACGCATCAGTACATGACATGGCCAGGATCACGAGTTCATGACCAAGTATTTTCTCTGACCTCTTTGATTCTAACAACAGAAAGGCAACAGAAATAATTCGGAATGGCAACAGAAACAAGTGTTCAAAAATTCTTATTGTCCAGCAGATCCGCCAGTATCATCCGTGAAGTCATGTAGAACAGAGACGTCCCTCAAATGGTATTCAAGCCACCAGGCGATTGTAAATTTGTAATGCATAGATAATTCTATCTGCAGAGACCATGGAATTACATACAAGTTTCCTGCTTTGCTGCAAACAGAAACAAATACTAGCCACAGAATTGTAATGCAATGCAGTTGTTCAACCTATTGGAAACTTGACTGCACAGAGCATGGAGCTCTACACAAACCTTTGCTGCTCGGCTTGAGTACGAAAAAACAAGCGAACAATTGATCATGTGCAGCTAATTTATTATCCACACAGAAAATAGGCAGCCAGGTCGTCCTCAAGTTGCAAACTCAACTATGAATATTGCTGTCCAATCGGGTAACATATATATACACAGCTAAGTAATAAAAAATGGAAGTAAAGCCGACAACACAGAGATTTAAGAGCAACTAACTAGACATGACACACCAAGGATTATGACCAAGTACTGTATCTAACAGCTGTGATTCTAAACGCAACCAAAATAATTTCTCATGCAATGCAATGAAAACCAGTCTTCAAACGCCCTTATTTCACGGGGTATAATCTAAAGCCGCTGCTAACCTGTGAAACGAATAGCTGGACGACTAGGCATCGCACGAGTCGTTTCAGCGGGTCCTGCGGCTGTTGGGTGGTTTTGACGGAGATGAAGGCTTCGTCTTTGCAAAGTCGACCAGGTCCTTGAAAAGGGAGTCCTCGGGTTGAGCCTGGCGGGATGCTGTCGACCGTGATGCACTCTTGTCATTCTCACTGTTCCGTGGGTTCAGGGAGAGGCTTTCAGTCTGTGTCAAAAGTCCATCGTAGCCGCCTCCGTTGTTCCCACCAGAATACACGTTTTGCTCAAAGTACTGCCGTCTCTGGCCATATCTCGTCGGAGGTGGCGGCAGGGAACCTGCAGCATCCTGCGCTTCCCATGGAGCCTTTGGAAGATCTTCACTAGACTCCTTAGTAGCCGAAGACGATGAAAAACCAGGAAGAGCAGTTGGGTTAATGAAGTCATCGTCAGGTAGACTCTCCTGCCGCTTCACAGACGAATGGGTTGGCTCCTCATTTGTAGGACGAGAAGGCGCAGAGAAGCTAGGTGCAGTTGGGTTTATAAAGTCGTCAGACACACTGTCTGGCCTGCTACCATAACTTGGTGGTGGATACACTTCTGGCTTTGAATCAGATGATGTAGATATGTTAGCTGGAGCAGTTGGGTTGATGAAATCATCTGAAACCTTTTCTGACTTGTATGAGTCACCACTAAGATAGTCAATACTGCTTGCCTCAGTGTAAACAGGCCTCTTAGATGCTGGTGGTGGAGGGAGAAGTGGGCTTGGGTACGGCCTTTCATTTCTTGGAGCAGAAGGCAGATTATTCTGTGCTACTGCGCCATCCCTTGCAGACCTACAAGCATATATATACTGTACATCAGCCAATGAATAAAAGAACCCTGTAGGTTTCTTTCTACAGGCTTTAGTAACACAAAATGAACCAAAGAAAAACTTGTTTTCCATAGTTTGTTTTACTTTTATATACAACAATCCCCCAAACTTGAAATAACAGTAGCATGTATTAAAATAACTTATATTACATAAAAAATTAAATAACTTACCTGCGGGAAAGCACAGAGAACTCGTCTTCCGGTTCATCGTCCTCGTGTACATTTAGAAGTGGGGAAAATGAAACCCTAGTGGACCTAGGTGGGGTAGTCCCTTGGTTGACATTTCCAGAAGAAGGTACAGGTGCTCCAGTACCAGGAGGGATCCCCTTTGCTATGTCATCATGACGCTGAACAACACGCTGTAACTCATCATTTAGTCCTAGAGCTTGAAATAAAAGGCTCTCGTCGCTGCAGAGAGAATACAGGATGTTCTGTTACAACATTGGTGTAAAATACAAGGAAAAAGAAACAACAAAATAAAATCATACCCAGTACTGTTAACAAGATCCATGACACGAGATTGATATGATCGGCATTGGCCAACAAGGTCAACAATGACCTCCTCCCTTACACCCTACAGTATGAAGCCCAATCAGATCAATCCACACCGAAGAGCATGATAAAAGATAAAGAAAGAAAGAGACAAGACTACTTTGCCTAAACAAATAAAAAAATTAGACTAGAGCAGTTGTTTAAATGCACTTGCTCTGTTGAAATTCTCATCTGTCATTGAAGACCAAAAGCATTTTGACAAAGATGGATTTATGCAAAATGAGACCAACTTCTAGAAAAGATTACAGGGCTGAAATCTCAATCGAATTCCTGCACCCTGAGTCCTTATGGAAAACATGGTTCATTAGGAGCCCAATGGAAAAGTAAGCTATCACACCACCGAGTTACTTACACGACATTTCTGTTTGAACAAATATGATAAACTCACAATGGAATAATATACTTGACTCAAAACACATATATATAAATCAGGAAATGGGTAAAAATACTTAAAATAAAAAGCAATCCAATGTAAACTTGATTAATACTTGCACAGCAACATTGATAATCCTACCTAAGAAATAATTGGAGTAATACCAGCTATCAACATGACAATATAATAGATGCAACTATAATTTTACATAGCATAGCACAAAGATCATTGACAGATCAAATGGTTTATGCCAAAAAGTTCTTTAATTGAAAAAAAAAAAGGGTATAGTAGAGCTAACATCACTACAAAATAACTTGTACTGAATGACAAAATAAAACTATAGAAGTGATCCAAGGATTGTACTGAAACATTCTAGAACTTAGTGCTTTATAAGAAAGTCACCTCAGGATGCCGGTGGTCCAGAGCATTTAACATTTCATCTAACACATCCACAATCCCTCGAGCACTTTGAATCTCGCTCAGACTGTAAAAAAATAATGGACACAGAAAATAAATAAAACTAAAATTGCGCTGCAAAGATTTTGTGAAACAAAAAATATGAACAGCGAAAAACTTTCCAGAATTTGAGTTGTTTGGCATGACAATGGAAACTTGACTCGTAAACTATGTAACTAAGAAGTTTCAGAAAGGAAATAAAGAACACGTTCTTTCTGTATTGACAGTAAAAACATCATCTCATAAATGTTTGGTCAAAGAACTGCCAATGCAATAAGAACCTTTTAAGAATAGCTTGGACCTAGTTTCATGAGCATGTGGTCTGCACAATGGGGGCACAGCAGATATAATCATAATCAAGGTACTGCCACATTGCTACTTTTTAGTATGGTTTGAAGTTGATTAAAACCAACAAGGGGGTAGCAGCAACAACTGAGATGAAACTAATAGACTTGAAAATGCATTCATGATTTCATCATCATCATCCCAGCTACCTAGAAGTGATCATCAATAGGCTTTATTTTTAAAACATTTTAGTCCTGCAAAACATGTGTTTGCTGTTTTATGGGACTGTATATTTTGCAGACCTCAGACATGCTTATTTCAACAATTCGACCATATTTTTGTGTTATCTAAAAATCTTGTATTAACAGGAAGTATGAAAAAAATGTGAGCAATCATTCAGAATAGAATTTTTATAAATTATTAAGCATGGGCTGCAACAAGGAGAAAATAACAAGACAAGGTACAACCTACATAAAAGCATAAATATGAAATATCAACATAAGATGATGATACTAGTGGTAATCCTTTCAACGCATGGACATTAAACATAAATGATAACTCCTCAATGCAAAAGAAACTAAATCACAAAGGCCAGAGCTCAGATCACATTGGTAAGCACATAAAAGACTACCTGAGGGCAGGTGCAGGAGGAGCAGATTGAAGAGAAGCTTGTATGGCAGCATCGTCATAGCTTTGACCTGGAGGTGGATACAGATGTGGATGTCTTAACGGTTGAGTTTGAGGTGGTGTAAACAACGGGACTGAATTTTCCTCACGAGGTGGAAAATCAACACCAGCAGCCTGCAAACATTATGATAATGTACTAATCAAGATTCGGCGAACTAATAAAAGTATGCAGTCCAAAACTCAAAAGATGGAATCGAAGAAACTTGAAAATGGGAAACAGTGTAACTAGAAAATTCAGATTCCATGATCACAAGGGCGTACCCAGTGTAGAGAGCTCCCGCTCTGTGTGGGGTCTGGGGAAGGGTGTTAGTGGCAAGCCTTACCCTCGCCTGTGCAATGCGAGGAGACCGCGACTCGAACCCGGGACCTTCCGGTCACAGGCGGTAAGACTCTACCGCTTATATAAATAAGAACAGGGCAAAGAAAGAGTTCGGTAACAAAAGCCGATGGTACCCTGAGTTCTTGGTAAGCCGCATGATACTGTCGATATTTTCCGGATGGACCTCCAAAAGCCACTTGCCATGTGTCAATCAAACTCAATATCTTCTCTCGGACGTTTAAGTCTGGCTGAAAAGTTGAAACAAATATCAAACATAGAAGCACATGAATGCAGAAAAAACAGTGCATCAAACAGGTATTGTCATCACCTTTTTCTTTACTATCTTAACCATTTCACTCAATATGTCGCGCTCAACAATCTGTTGATGAACAATATCCCCACAATTTTTGCTTAGAGTCTCTAGCACCTGACATAAGGGAACAAGTCAGAAACATCACATCAGCTCAAAGGACAGAAGCATGAACATCAGCAAAAGCTATGTGTTATGATCATAATTTTCCGAAACTAAATAATGGAGGTGCTAATGTAAAACCTAAATGACTAAACTCTGTGTTTATGAAACAAGTCATAATGTGGAAACTAGACTCTAAACGTTGATGGTTGTTGTCGTAGAGCGTGTTGAGCCAATTGAAAGAGCCCTGCGTGCTCTTTTCAATGTGGTTACGTGGTTGTCAGATGCAGGTGTCTGATTTTGGTACAAACTATTGTAATTTCGTTGCTTTCAAGTAATGAAATTCGGCTCGTCCGTAGTGGAAAAAACTAGACTCTAAAAGCTTTTCGTCATGATGTTAGCAAATGAATATTGCTAATCTTGTACGACCCAAACATTGCTAAGTGAATTCACAATATGTCAAAATTCTGTTTTTTTAAAAGTAAAGGATAAGTCTAGTAGAACTCACATAAAGTGTTAGAATTTGCACTTTTGAATTCTTGCTTCCAAGACGTTTCTTTAGGAGCTTGAGTGTATCCTTTGCTTGTCTGCATTTCAAAAAGCTTCTATCAGTATGTTATGAAGCATATAAAATGACAAATGGTAAAATGGTAAGTGAGATAAGAAAATGAAAACTTCCTATTAGTAACTTTGGAAACTCCACATTCAACAATCCAGCACAACAAACAAACTTTGTGATAAGCATCACCCAACCATGAAAAGACACAAACAAATAGTACAGAGCAAAGCATATTATAGTTACATTCCATACCTCAATATTGTAATATAGAAAGTCCATAATTTGCCACAAAAAACACTCAGAGGGACATGTTAATCAACTTTGGAGCATAGGTAATTCAAGGCACCCACAAAGACGACAGAAGCTTAAGCGCACTCTAGACAGGATTTAAAGTGACAAAAAATAATAAATTCCTTTTTGGTGTAATTTCAAAAGCCCTCACTGTTCACATTTCATGACTAAACATGACGTCACGCCAAACCAGCACCTCAACAACAAATGCCACAAAAATTTGGTGACCCTCAACAAGACCATGACTCAACTAACCAACAACAAACTATTCATCAATAAATAAAGATCTCACCCTCCATTCTAACAACCAGAAACCTAAGATTCCAAATTCCTAATCAAGTGCAAAGAGAAGTACAGAGAAATCAAAACAGGAAAACACGTTCATTCGCAGCAATCAGTAATGAAAACACCACAGCAAGTGGAGCAGATTCAAAGGACCATAAAACCAATCAAGCAGTACCGTATCGCCGCAGGATAACTGAATTTACGTAACTGTTCTAAAACAATACAAGTTTGAGACATTGCACTTGCAACGGGTAATAAAAGGAAATCACAAGTAAATCACTGTGAACAAATCAATGGGTTAAATAATGCCATCAAAACCCTGTTCGATCTCCCAGGATAAATACTGTAGCAAATTTGTAGCGCATATTTACACTGTTCGGCAGCAATACCGATCCAGACATATCATCAAAGAAAAAACAAATCATACACAAAAAGTAGATAGGGAGGGAAACTTTGGTCAGACCCGGGATCCATGTTGATGATGTCGCAGAGCTCGATGTTGACCGCCCAGTCCGGGCCGATCAGCATGTCGTTAGTCGCCCTCTCCGCGCACGCCACAGCCGCCGACATCTCTCCCGGCGACCCTAAATCCTGCAGCGCGAAACCCGCCAAATCAGTGCCAGGATCCCACCTTTCCACCGATCCCGCGAAGAAATTCGCCCGAAGAACCCACTTTGACCCCGCAAGAACCCGAATCCTCACCAAATCTGAGCGAATCGCCGCGACATTCACCCGCAAGAACCACCAAAGAGCCTCCTTTTCCCGATCCCTGAGCGCCGGGCAGCAGCTGATCGCGCACGAACTGGGTGGACGGTGCGGGTGGTGGAAGGTTTCGGGGTGGATTCGAGATGAGCAGCTGGTGGGATTGGTTGGAGGATTTTGAGGGCCTGCAGCTACAAGACGGGATGGATGAGACGAGTAGACCCGGCCGGCGGCAGGAAAGGGTGAAGAGAAAAACGCGGTCATGGACTTTTTTTTTTGTGTGTCAGTGTGAATACGAGGGCTATCAATAATTGATTCTTTATTATTATTTTTCTGTCGGTTTGGAATTTTGGGCGAAAAGTTTGAACATCTAGATCAGAATGGTTCTTGTATTTCAGGTTTGATTTTGCTACTTGGACCAATTTTGATTTATTTGGTGCAAATAGATGGCCTGCAATTTATTTGTTTTTCAATTGGTTTCATTGAAGTTCTGGGAGAGGTTTGTTTAGCTACCATATGTAGATGGTGATGTTACGTGTTTGACTTTGCTGTTTGGATTAAGTTTTGGTTGGGCTACGTTTGCAATTTATTGGGTGTGAGGATAGATGGCTGCAAATTTTATTTATTTTTAGTTGGTTTTTTTTGGGAGTTGGTTTTAAGTTTTGATTTCGGATTTGATCAAGTTTTGGTTTGGGGCCACCAAAAATTCTTGGTGGTGATGTTTTAACTTAGCATATATATAAATAAAAATAAAACTAATTACACGGTTGATTTCGTCATGAAATCAGAGACGAATCTTTTAAGATCAAGTTTTGGTTTGGCTTCTTTTTCGCCATTTTTAGCAGGGCCTGTTACTGTCATTTGTGAGACTGTCACAGAAAGTCGAATGCTGTAGCTGTGGTGTTGACATGCGAACGATGCCGAACATTGTTTTCATATGTGATGGTGATATGGTTGCGTAGCTTCCAAGCAACTTTCAGTTTTCATGTTGTTCTTCGCATATTTTCAAGTGAAGAGCAAAATAATATTACATTGTGGGAACATAGTCAAGAATGATTTTGCCAAAATCTTGTTTTTTTTCATTGGTTTTTACACTTTTGTACAATATTATATACATAAAAAAACACAAATAGGTGTCTAGCTGGATCATGACTTTGACTCCCAGTTGAGTGAATCATAGGAATCTGGACCCATCTAGAAACTTACAGAGGCAATAAAAGGTTTCTTCTATCTTAAGCATAATGCCGGAGGTTATATGCCTCACTCCAGCGTGCCATTTTTTTACATGAAAAACAAAACAGTGTTGTATAGTGTCAAAAGCACTTTTTAGATAAATAAATCTGCTGTATTTTTATTATTCACGGATATTCAATGGCACAACATCCAAATGTGTCCATCTAATCAAACAGAAAATATTATTTAGCTCCAGCATGATTTCGTGAAGATTTTTGAACCAAGGCAATAATAAGCAATAGCATAATCATGTTTAGGAATGCGGGTGAGCGGATCGCAAAATATATGGATATATTCATATCATATACCACCAGTCCACCACATCCAAAACAAAAGTGTCCGTCCCTCTCAATTCCAGGCTCGATAATTAAGTACGGCACGCTGGCTATGCATGCCGACTAATGAAAATCTGAATAATCATACAAATACACACAGAGATTTAAACTAGGAACCACGAACGAGTCGTGAGTCCGTTGGTTTGACCAGAGGTGTCTCCACCACTCACTCGCTGACAACGCCCGGCGCCCGCATTTGACGACGATCGCCAGCATGCGTGGGCCCGCTGCTGATGATGCAGAAACAAGTGGGCTCTATTCGCTTCGTTGAAAAGCCAGACTGAAAAGTACTGTTCGCTGATTTGTTATGACAGAAAAACACTGTTCTTTCGCTAAAAAAATACGGCTGATAAGTTAAACGAACATGGAGGAAAAAAGAAGGTGTTGCACATTTCATGGCCGCTCCAAGCCGGGTTTGCTGACACCATGGCCATTCATCAGTGATTCAGATGCTACTACCACTCGCCACATCTGTCACAGCTAGGACTGATGACAGAACAACAATGAGCAGTGATTTTCTAGAAAATATTCACCCTATTCGTTGATGCTGAAATTTAGCTTAGACTGATACTTATGCTGAAATGTTGTGAGAGAAAAACAATATTCCATAACTGAAAAGAAGTTCTGAATAAGCTCAAGTAAACAAGGCGATTGTCAGTAAAAGTTTTTTCCTTCTCTCTTTCTTTTTCTTTTTTTGAGAGGTGCTCTCCATGCTTGCCACGCGGTCTCTCTTTTTCTAGTTTTACCTTATCCGGAGTGAACATGCCTTTTCCTAAGAGACCAATATTTTTGAGTAGATAGATAAAAAAGAAGACAAAACATTATCTGATCTAAAATAGAAAAAGGCTGAAAACTCGTTTTGACCAAGGCCCAAGTGGGGAAAAAATTAGGACAGCTGCTTCCCAAGAAAGGGCCCAAAAAAAGATGATTTTACATTCTGAGTGGGCCGAATTTAGGGCCCATTCACGTATAAAGATGGTAATTAATTCAGCCCACCTAACACGTGTCCGAAACCGAAGCCCATCAGAAAAGAGTGTATGGCTTGGCTCTCATTTGCTAGTTCAATCGATGTACCTTTCACCTTTGCTCATCACATGCATAATAATCCTACGTCTACGTGTCATCCGTCTTCATCACTTCCCCACTGCGTGCTACCGCCAGTTAGTCATGTGCTATGGTCCCACCTACCGCCGCTCTCTAGGCCACAGCACGAGCTCCTCCAGCGCTACGTGAAAAACATATCCGCTCATAGCAGGAAAAAAAATTACGCCAATGCTGACGCTCGGACATATGTACCTGCACTCCGTTTAACCCACTTCACGCGGAGCTCGTGTCGTCCAAACATCACCAGCATCGAGAAAAGGGGAGGCAGCGCCCGCCCACGCCTCTGGTTTGAAAGGACCACGGTGTGCCTCGGCCAAGACAACATATCGGATGCCCAGCCGATGGGGGAGAAGGAGGAGACACCAAGGTGAGGAAACATTGATGAGGGAGATGCAAATACCCGATCTACTTTTGAAACATGTAGATATAAAACTTGTAACATACGTCTGAAGACAGTGAAAAATTTATAAAAACACCCATAAAACATTTAACCATTATAAACATACATGCATCATCCAGTTAAAACACTTGTAACATGTGTGAAACATATGTAACATCTAGATAAACACACTTGCAATGTACGTCTGAAAAACAGATGAAACATTGAGAAGAAAAACTTGCAACGTACGTGTACAACCATTGCAATATATGCAACATCCCGATCTACTTTTGCAACATTCATATAAAACACCTACAACATACCTATAAAACATCTAAAACACTTGAAACATGTATTTTACAATATAGAGGAGGTCGGGCCGGTCGATTCCAGGCGTCGGGGTCGGAGCTGGTGCGCGAGCACCGCCGCCACCACCACCACCACCACCTGTGCCACTAGCACCGGGCTTGGCTCGGCCAATCGGACGACGCGTGCGATGGGATCGGAGAGTGTGGGCAGCGCGCGAGCGCATCACCACGCCATCGCCACCAGCACTGGCCTTCGATGTGCGACGGACGGGAGCGAGAGAGCGACGGGGAAGCACGGCAGCAGCGGGGTGGAGTGGGCGCTCACGTCGGATGAACACCCGCATTCTATCGTTATAAAAAAAAATTAAGCTCCCCGCAAAACCAACAAGAAAAGACTGCTGATAGCAGGCAAAGGATAAGGCCAAGGGCTAATAGTCCTCAACAAGCAGCCGCAATATTATCTTGCTTTCAGATACTCCGATCCAGCTTCCGACGACCATTACATCCATGAAGAAAGGCATAACAAGATGAGTGGCTTTCCATTGGTCCAAGTTGTGGTTTAGTACTTTAGTTTGTTGTGAGCTGCATAAAACACGTGCGTAGGACGGAGGGATATGCATGTTCTTTCGCTGGGTTTTGCTTGTGCTTAATCTTCGCTATACTTGTAATTGATAGAGCACTACTTTGATCTTCAGCGATAGGGGTATTTTCAGATCCAATGAATTTGTCCGTGAGGAGTCCATAACAAGTCCGTTGAAACCAATTTAGTGCCCTGAAATTCTATTTTCAGTTTTATGGTTTTGGAATTTATTGTTTTTTTTTAATTTTTCAAATGACCTCGAGTGGAGAAACGATCTAAATTAAAGTTATAGTATTCTAAAAGATATAAAACTTTCCGGTTCAAAGTTTTTTTATTTTGAATTTATTTATGATCTCAAATATGCATTACAATATTAACTACATTGAATTGAATAGAAAAAAATGTATCAACTACTTTGTCACTTTTAGGCGCACGCGCGGGCATGAGGTCGTGAGTTCAAACTATAGTGGCCGCACAACACACGTGCATACTTCGCGCAAAAAATCAAGCCATATCTGAAAATCAATTTTTAGAATTGGCTTCTACAGCTAGCCGCTTCCATGTGGTGCAGTGGAAGATGATGCCCATCTCTTCTTCCACTGTCACCTCCCTAGAGCTGTTTGGTTTTCAAATCACCCTCCCCCCAGAACCGATAATCTTCCTCAAGAAAATGATGGAGTGCAATTAACTCTCCAAGCTTTTATTTCAAATTCAACTCCTAGCTCTTTACTAGATAAGATACTAATCACTATGTGGTATTTGTGGAAGCAAGGAATGACAACCGATTCCAGAGAAAGGTCTGGACTCCTTGGCAGGTACACCATGTGGTGGCGACGCATATTACCGGCTATAGGCAGCAGCAGCAGACACATCCCAACACCACAGGACCTCAGGCTTCACCTTCCACAGACAACCAGCAGCTACAGCAAGGTACCACCACAAACTTAACCGGAGCAGCGGCATTCCAATCACCACACGGTGATGCAACCATGGTGAGGACTCCACTATCAGGTATGCAGACTTCTAATGCAGCAGCAAACCTGCCTCCCAGCGTCAACCAAGTAAGCACCAGCAGCCAGACGGACAGGTACACCATCCATTTGCCGGCCTTGATGCCAGGAGTCAGGTGCTATGCCGACGCATCCCTGCTGCCTGACCAGATATTGTCGCCACCCAGAACGGCTGGCCTTGGAATTTTTCTTGTAAACACACAGGTACAACCGGTGCAGACAATCTACATCAAGGCGCTTATGTCAGGTGCTCACTGAGTCATCATGGCTGAGGCTGCAGCTCTTGCACTAGCAGCAATGGTTGCCGATCTACTC